TATAGTCAAACTGCCTGATGGTTCCCCCACCCCCACCAATGGCTTTTTTGCACCTCAAGGGACAGAAAAGATGCTTTGAAGTGGGATTTTGGGAAAATGTTATAAACAACTAATATCTTACCTGTTGTAGATCTTTGAAGGTCCTCAATAGTTTCATTCTGACCAAGCTAACAAGCTAACAGCTGGTCCAAGAGTGGAATAAAACCAAAGCAGGATATTGCCATCTTACAACTCCAGTCTCAAAAAGTTGGAGACGTAAAATACTAATTGTTCATCATTTTTCTGAACCGTCACTTCTGAAGATCAGAGCTATGAGGTACCATGAGGCAGTGAGAAGATTCAATCAGAGCAGAGACAAAACTTTATGTTTTTTTAAAGAACAGCTAAACTGAAATAACGCTAACATCAATGCTTCCTCCTGATTTACAGCCTGACAACTGAGCTAACAAACCCTGCAGGCATGTAGAAGGTTGAGTTTCACCTTTAATGCCAAATGGTCAGACTCAGGGGTGTTTTCACACTCATTTAAAATGTACACATGCTCAACTTTACAGTGTTTGGAAGTAAATGGAAGCCATCGGCAAGGAAAACAGAAAATCTAAACTCGATTCTTTAAGAGCTTGTAACATTAAGATATTATCTTCTGTGAGAAATCATTACTGAGCCTCACCTGAGTAAACCTGGAAGGCCTTTCTGCTTGTCGCCCACCTTGGTGCGTCTGGCCAAGATGGCGAGAATCAGCATGATGACCAGCTAGATTAAAAAAACAAAAAAACATTTTAGTTTCACCTGCAGAGTGCCAGGCTGCTGTGGATTCACAGGGTTTATGTCTCAAACTGTTTCACACAGAAACAAAAGCAAGTGTCACGAAACAAAAGGCTGAACCCCAGTCTGCTCCCCATGAATGTGGTCTGAAAGAAGTCAGGTCCACCGACCGGTGAGGGGCCACAGACCTGCTGTGACATGTGACACGTTCAGGAAACACATGAGAGGAAGGCAAGACCAGACCTCTAATCAGACCATTAAAGGGAACTAAAAACCAAATAACTTCAACATGGAAGCACTGCAGAAAAACAAACATAATATTAAGCAGGGGAATAAAGAAAAATATATAAGTAGTAAAAAGGTTCAACCATAAGAATAAAATGTGTAGTTGTCACCACTTCATTCTGCATTGATCCTGCTTGGTTTGAGTGAACATCTCAGATAGTTTTGTATACATTTTAAAAGTTCACATGTGTTAAAACTTCCTGTTCACTGGAGTTAGTGGGAAAGATCATATATGCCCAGTTTTAGCTTCTCTCCATTGGCTCCCTGTCAAGTCCAGAATTGAATTCAAAATCTTACTTCTAACCTACAAAGCTCTCAACAACCTAGCTCCATCTTATATTCGAAAATTTATTGTTCCATATTTTCCTAACAGAGCACATCGCTCTCAGACTGCAGGTTTACTCGTGGTTCCTAAAGTTTCCAAAAGCAGAATGGGGGGAAGATCTTTCAGTTATCAGGCTCCTCTCTTGTGGAACCAACTTCCAATTTCTGTCCATGAGGCTGACACATTGTCCAGTTTTAAGACTGGACTTAAGACTTTCCTTTTGATAAATCCTATAGTTAGGGTCGGCTTGTTATGCTGCCGTAGGCTTAGACTACTGGAAGACAAACTAACCTCATGTCCTTAAATTAATTGTTAAAACTGAATAGTTTTCATTTTATACTATTTCTATCTGTTCCTACAAAACCCAGCCAGTAGAAGCAGATGATCGCTTGTCCTGAGCTTGGTTCTGCTAAAGGTTTCTTCCTCACGAGGGAGTTTTTCCTTTCTACTGTCGTCTTCATGTTTGCTCAAGATGAGAGTTCTGTGATGATGTTAAACTCAAAGCAGTCTATTCCTCAGATAATTAATGTTAAATTATTATTTTTATATGTGAATGTTTCTGTTCAGTGCCCTGAGATGACTTCTGTTGTGACTTGGCGCTACATAAATAAACTGAATTGAAATTGAATTGTTTGAAAATATAATTTACATTGAGTGCGAAGCACAAAATAAATGTAATTTTGTTATGCCACTTGAGTCTAAATGTTTCTCTTCTTTTTATTGGAAAAAACTATAAAATTACTTTTCTGATGAAGGCAAAGAGACACGTTGGGGGACCAACTTTACTCATTTAGAAAAAAAAAAATCATGATAATGAAAACTCCTTTTTTGACCGTATAAGTTGCGACACTGCACTGGATGAATGACAGCGTGCTGCTGTGTGAGGTGGATCTGACAGGACGACAGACTTACAGATATCGCAGTGATGGATATATGATACAGCATGTCATCAGCAGTGGGCTCACATGGTGGGATTGTTCTAGATCAGGAAACAAAAGATTCACTTGTTAGCAAAAACATAAGCACTTTGGACCCTGAGCTGACCTTGAGGTGCACCACTTTAAACTTTTCACATGTCAATATCAGGATCATTTGTGGCTGGAAACTTTGTGGCTGAAATCCCAGAGCGGAGCAGAGATTTGGATTTAAACGGATTGGTATCAGCGTGACACAGGAAAACAACAAAGGTCTTTCATTCATGTTTATGTGACAGAGGAGCAAGAATGCTTGGCCACGGGGGCAGTGTTCACAACCAGAGCGTCAGACGTCAACTTTTTGTGTTGGGACAGTCATTACGGTGATTGAAACGGGTCTTCCATGTTCAAACAATACGAGTACTTTTAATTAGACACACCAATCCACCTGATGCAGAACGGTTTGGCCAAACCTGCAGGAAGTTGTAGCTGCAGGAAAGCAACAACCCAACACAGTGTCTTTCTGTCAAATTGTTCATCACAGTGTGCAAATGTGTGGGACAAATGATGAACAAATGTTAAAGAAGAAATGAAAAAAATGTGTCTATTGATCAATAGGGACAAAAATAACTTTTTTGCAACTTCAGATGAGCAACATGTAGAATAACAAACATGTTAGGGAGATATGGTTAGAGAAAAAATGAATTACTTGTGTTGTTTGAGTGTAGGAGATCATGCAGACTATGTTCAGTACCTTGCTATACATAAACTGATCTTAAACTTAAACTGAAAATGTGTTAGTGATTTGTGAACTCAAAACTTTCTGAAAATTTTGTTAGGATTTGAGTTTTAATTTCGTTTTATTCAGGGTTGTAAAAAGACTAAGTAGGAAAAAAAACTTTTTTCTTTCTCAGCCGACAGCTGAAAAGTATGTAAACGAGACCGCACCGACACGACAACAAACAGGAGAAGCAGAATCACACTGTGACTGCGGGCCTGTAGAAGTGTGCCATATGTCACCTAATATCTCAATGAGAGGCGTATCTCAGAGCAAAATCCAAACAAAAGATTCAGGAAGTGAAACTAAACCCCCAACAGTGAGCACGTTGGTTTAAATGAAGAAAAACTGTGAAATAATAATAATAAAAATCAACAAGAGGGACAGCATAAAGTTTTTAGAAATACTTCAAGAATACACTTACTCTCTTTCAATTTTAGAAGGCAGAGGATCCAGGTCTGGATACTCATAGTCCAGCAGAGCATCCTTATCCATCTCTTTTCCAAACAGTTCCTGTTACAGACAAGCTGGGATAATGTCCAAAGTCTCTAGCAACTGTGATCCCTCCAGCCCCAAGAGGGAAAAGTGTCTCCCAAGTCCCACGTTGGACTCTGCGGTTGCTGCAGAGGTGTCCTTGTTTCCCTGTGTTTGGTCTACTCTCGCTCACACGCTGCTGCCTGCCTTCAGGTGCCCCTGGTCCCGCTGCCGTGCTGGGTACACTGTGACACGTCCCAGCTGCTTGGCGCTGCCTCCAACCTGCTTCAGGCCCCGTTTCAGCTCGAGTCGCCACACCAAGGGTCTGGAGAAAAGAGGGAGAGAAGGGGGGGCCAGTGTGTGAAAGAGGAGGGAAAAGAGTGGAGATTTGGGGAGCCAATCTAGAAGGCCACCTGCAGTTTACTGGGATTACATTGCACTTTTGAAGTTGTGCTGCTGAACCTGTGGCCAGTGCATGAAGGGGGTCAGGTGTGCAGAGTTCTAAAACTCCACCTCTCTGTAGGTGTGAGCAATCAGCTTGTCTTATCAGAACATCACAGCTTCTCACTGATAACAGGGAAATACTTGTCATGGTTCATGGTTTACAACAGGTTACCCAAAACCGGATCCAGTTCAGTCCCAACCACCACATGGACGCTGATAGACCAGCACAGAGATGGGCAACACTTTTTTTCCCAAAGGGCCACATCAGGATGTTCAAAGCAATCAAAGGGCCACACAGAAAATTGGAAAATAAATTTTCTTCATTACAGATGGTCTGAAGAACTTTTACAGGCTCTGTCTTAACATGATTTATAAAATGTGTCGTTGCTTTAAGAATAAAAAACATATTCTGTAAACTGTCCCTTGTGACAATTTATTATACACGTAAGCTTAACATTCAATTCAATTCATTTTCATTTCAGTTTTTTATATAACACAAAGTCACAACAGAAGTCATCTCAGGACACTGAACAGAAATATTCATATATAAAAAGAATAATTTAACATTATTTATCTGAGGAGCAGACTGCTTTGAGTTTAACTCATTGCAGAACTCTCATCTTGAGCAAGCATGAAGGTGACAGTGGAAAGAAAAAACTCCCTCATGAGGAAGAAACCTTTAGCAGAATCAGGCTCAGGACAAGCGACCATCTGCTTCGACCGGCTGGGTTTGAGACGAACAGGAAGGAGGAACAGATACACAATGGCAGGTCAAGAATCACATGAAAAATAGTATCAAATTAAAACTATTTAATTTTAACAAATCATTTAAGGAAATGAGGTTTATTAGTCCTCTAGTAGTCCAAGCTTCATGCAACATAACAAGCAAACCCTAAATATAGGATTTGTCAAAAAGAAAAGTCTTAATCCCAGTCTTTAAACTGGACAATGTGTCAGCCTCACGGACAGAAACTGGAAGTTGGTTCCACAAGAGAGGAGCCTGATAACTGATATATCTTCCTCCCATTCTGCTTTTGGAAACTCTAGGAACCACGAGTAAACCTGCAGTCTGAGAGTGAAGTGCTCTGTTAGGAAAATATGGAACAATAAGATCTGTACTGTAAGATGGAGCCAGGTTGTTGAGAGCTTTGTAGGTTAGAAGAAAGATTTTGAATTCAATTCTGGATTTGACAGAGAGCCAGTGGAAAAAAGCTGAAACTGGAGAGAGATGATCTCTCCCACTAACTCCAGTTAAGACTCTGGCAGCAGCATTTTGGATCAATTGAAGATGTTTTAAAGAAGTATTTGGACATCCAGATAATAAACCATTGCAATAGTCCAGTACAGACGTGACAAATGCATGAACATGTCATACCTGTTAGTGGGAAAATGCAAAATAACTTATATATTTGTGTTTCTAAATCTTTAAACTTCAGCCTAGTTCTGGAAATACAATGACTTAAAAAATGTTTTTTTGTAAGTTTTGCAGAAAATGTTAAATTGAAATGTTCTTAAGTTTCTTTGATAAATTGCTGTTTTTTTAGCAATCTTTTTTTTTTTTACTAAGGATACTGGTGGCCTGATGGAAATATTCCAAAGGCCACTTTTGTCCCTCGCGCCTTAAGTTTCCCACGTCTGGACCAGCATATAAGATCACATGCTCTGTGTGGCCGAAAGATTCTCACATAAGGTGAAATTTCTCTTCTCTCAGCTTGATAAGAACCACGGATGGACCTCATATCACCTTAGTGCTTTGTCTTCTGCAAATCAAGTCAAATTATGATGTCAGCACACAGGTTCATATTTCATATATTTCATATAATCACAGATACTGATATCAAGTTACTTTAATAGATAAGTTACGTCGAAATTCCATACAGTACTGAAAGTTATCAAACACTTATTCAGAAAAAGGACAATCTATTCTTCTGAGAGAGAACATGAAGCTGTGTGCAAACAAAATGTCTTCAGTAAAATGTACCAGTTAGTGAAAAATTAAACTAATGGGATGTTCACGTCATTGCACAAAGTTACAAAGAAGGGTAGAGTTCAGAGGACCAAACACAATAAATCAAATAAAGGACTCCCTTTCTGATAGTCTGGCCATTTTTATGGTTAAATATTTTTAGATCTGCACTTTTAGGAATACCATTAGATAATGTAACACTACTGTGCAATCTGTACTCATCTCCAACATGAACAATTACAACTAAGTAGCTGCTGATCATTATTTTTATTTTTCAACTAAGGATGCCAGTCATTCTCACTTTACAAAAGCAAGGCTTACGTTATAAAATAGACTACTTTTTTTTAGTCTTAATGTTTAAATGTAACACATTATTTAGGTGCATAAAACCAATCAGTTTTAGAGTGCTGTCACACAAAGGATTTGTTGGCAACTCCAGTTGGAACCTCAGAGGAGAACTTTAGACAAAACCAAAACAAGCAACAACAAAAAAACAACAACTCTTATTATATTAAACTATAATTGCGAGCTGTGTTGAATAGCTTTTTTATTGATGTTATCATTTTACCATGTCCTTTTGATAACAGTTGTCTCTCATTTCACCTAAAAAGATTACATTTTATTTGTTTCTTAGGAAAATGTTTGGTCTCTGCTGTGGAAGCCAAGTAGTTCTAAGAGCCTTCAACGTTGCACCCCCCTGTGTGTGAGGGTTAATAAAGCACACTGAGGTCAAGGGTCATGGTAATGCCACACAGCCCCAGTTTTCCTAAATCCACTCTTGCATTCAGTTGCTCTGGCTGAGAGACCAGCAAACACTCATTATGACGAGATTACAGGTCACGCAACTTTAAAACGCAACAAAACATCCCGTCTAACAACCACGAGACAACACAGGCTCCCAAGCAAAGTAAGCCACCAAATCAAAAGTGTTCCCAAAGTAGAAGCAGCCTTGCACATGAAAAGGTCACTGAACAAAGAATGCTTTGAACGGTTACATCACAGACAGACAGTTTGATTAGGTAAGACACTTACCTTGTCTCAGGATTAGGATGTTGACTCCAAAGCCCTTATGCTGGAAGCACACTCAGCATGTGCTGTGTGGGCACACAGATAATTAAGCTACTGATTGACTAATCTATTTTTAACTAAGTAAATATCCACACTTTCAACACAGACAAGGCAATTTTTGTGAACCAATTCATCCAAATAAATAGAGGAGTGGTGATGCAGAGGTTAGAGAGGTTGTGGAGCTGAAGTATGGACTTTAAAAAGAAAGGAAGAGGAACTCCTGAAGAGAATAGAAGTGCGGGATCGGATTCTTGGGGTATCCCTCAAGGATAGACGGCGAAATGACGATATCAGAAAAACGCTTGGCGTGGCATCATGGACAAGATATAGAAATCAAGAATGAGATGGTATGGGCATGTGCAGTGAATGGAAGATGACAACAAGATAAAAGGTCTATTAAATATACAAGTTTTTGGTCAACGAAGCAAGGGACAGCAGAAGAAGAGGTGATGGATGTGATCCAGTGGGATATCAGGAGACTCCATCTCACAACACACTATACATGAAACAGAGCAAAATGGAGATGAAGAATACATGTGACCCTGCTCTGAAAAGAGCGGGACCTACAGCCTGGCGGAGAGAGAGAGAAGGTGAGCCTGTGAGCAGAAGGTTGCTGGTTCGACCCCCTGGACTAACAACATCAAAGTGTGGGTTGAGACAGATGTGGGTCACCTGCCTCTACCTTCATTTGCCCCACTCTGTGCCCTTGAGCAAGGCCCTTAACCCCCAGCCTCTGCTCCCCCGTGCACCCTACATGGCAGCCCCCTGCTCCACACAGAGGGCTGTGGTAGCTCAGTGGTCTGTGGTTGCGTCATGAAGGGCATCTGGTGTAAAAAGTATTGCCAAGTCTTCGTGCAGGTTAGTTCTCTGTGAAAGGAGCAGCCGAAAGAAGAATCTGAATTAATCCAAATAAATATTCAGAGATTACAGACATCATGGCAGCCCCTCACCAGGGAGCAGGTATTTCTAAAATTGTCATCTTTATAAGGGGACTTCTGTGGAAAGTTGTGAACAATGAATGTCTTGCCTGTTCTAGATAGTTGTTTGAACAACCCGTTTACAGAAATCTTGGTCTCTGATCTTGGCCTTGCTTGGACAGTTGTTGTGTCAGACAGCTGGTAGCTGTTACTCCAGTCTAAACATTTCTATTAGAGAAGGGAACTATAAGTATTTTAAATGTTTTTTATCTGATAATAATTTGATTTTTTTCCAACTTTATCCACCAGTCTGACTTGGTTCTGCCAGTACCTTCTATATGTCCCCCTCTACCTACCAGCAGCTTGCAGCATTTCTTGTTTTTCACAGTGCATTTTATTTTTTCCTCATGAAAGGCTAGTAACTGTATCACAAGTGTCAGCACAACAATAAACTGTAAATACAGAGAAAACAGCTTTAATGTGAGATAATTTCAGCTTAACTTATGATTGCTGCATGTTTTAAGTTCTATTTGGCTCTGTTAGGTGTGCAATGGAGAGCATCCTGTGCTCCAGCATCAACGTGTGGCATGGAGGCTGCACAGCTGCAGAAAGAAAAGCTTTGCAGAGAGTGGTGAAGGCTGCACAGAAGACTGTTGGAATCAGTCTCCCCACCATCACAGACATCTACACCTCCAGATGCAGGAAGAGAGCCACCTGCATCATGAAGGACCCCACTC